TCTTTTTGCTTATGTGGTGCTGAGGAATTGAACCCAGGGCCTCAGGCATGCAAGGCAAGCGCTCTACCACTGAGCCACCTTCCCAGCCCCCATGTTTTTTTTTTTTTTGAAAAAGCTTTTCTGAGACTTCCCGTGAGATGCTATAAAATGACATCCTTCTATAACTCAAGCAGGTAATTCCCAGGTTAAGAGTGAGGCCCAGCAGCCTGTGTCCCCAGTGCCTCTGAGTCCAGTTGCCAGAGCCTCCAGCCTTCCTGAAAGTTCTCCTCCCAAAGCATTGAAGGTATGATGGATTATTGTTACTATTAACATGTTGTACAGAGGAGCTACCACTTCAGAAGTCAGATAATGAGTACATTTCCTTCCTTCCTTCCTTCCTTCCTTCCTTCCTTCCTTCCTTCCTTCCTTATTTCCTTCCTTATTCCCTTTCTTTCTTTCTATCTTCTTAGATAATGTCACCTCTTTCTTTACTTTCCCTCACTTCCCTCCTTGTTGTATTTTTAAAAACTGGTTTTGCTTTCCTGGGTTTGATAATACCAAAAGAAAGGTACCTTTATGAATCATTTTTCCTTGGAAATCTTTCTTCTTCCCAGGTGTTTAAGCTAAGTTCGTAAGTTTAGTGTAAGCTTCATAAATTTATGTGTGAGCATGTTGACCCAGCTTCATGCATATATCTGCTATGCTATTTCTCTTCACTGGGTATATAATAACTACTTAGATGAAAATTTCAGTGCACAAAAAGAAGACATGGATGAGGATGCATAGGTGAGGGTTTAGAACACAATGAAGAAATTAAAGAAATGGGAGAAAAGAAGACTTAGGACTTAAAGGGTAAATTTGCCACTTTTCCTTCTTTTTGTTTTGTACCAATACTGGGGCTTAAACTCAGTGCCTGGGTGTTGTTCCTTAGCTTTTTCACTCAAGGCTAATGTTCTACCTCTTGAACCACACCTCTACTTATGGCTTTTTGGTGGTTAATTGGAAACAAGTGCCCTCCAGACTTTCCTTCCCAAACTGGTTTTGAACTTTGATCCTCAGTTCAGCTCAGCCTCCCAAGTAACATGACAACCCAGCCCCTTAATGGGTAAATATAAAGGTGCAAGAAAAATTTAAAGGAGACAGACTTATAAGGATAGTAATGTATATTGAAAAGGAATAAAAGCTGAAGAAAGCAGTGAAAGAAAGAATAAGAAGAACAAATTGAGAGGCTAGGGAAGCAGCCCAGTGGTTCTGTGTATGCTTAGCAGTTTTGAGGCACTGGATTCCATTCCTGGCACTAAAGTAAGTAAAGAAGAAATAACTGCCACCGGGCACCAATGGCTCACGCCTGTAATCCCAGCCAGCCTGGGCAAGAAAGTCCATGACACTCATATTTTTTTTCTTGTTGGTCTTGGGACTTGAACTCTGGACCTGGGCACTATCCCTCAGCTCTTCAGCTCAAGGCGAACACTCTACCAATTGAGCCACAGCACCACTTCTGGTTTTGAGTGGTTTATTGGAGATAAGAGTCTCACGGAGGGGCTGGGAAGGTGGCTCAGTGGTAGAGTGCTTGCCTTGCATGCTTGAGGCCCTGGGTTCTAGTCCCCAGCACCACATAAGCAAAAAGAAAAAAGCCAGAAGTCGCGCTGTGGCTCAGGTGGTAGAGCGCTAGCCTTGAGCTGAAGAGCTGAGGGACAGCGCCCAGGCTGAGTTCAGGCCCATTACCAGACCCAAAAAAAGAAAACAAGAGTCTCACGGAGTTTCCTACTCAGGCTGGCTTTGAACCTGGATCCTCCGATCTCAGCCTCCTGAGTAGCTAGGATTACAAGCGTGAGCCACTGGTGCCCAGCTCACAATAATTTTTCAACAAGAATTATCATACATAGATTGCAGAAGACTTGACAACTAAATATAAGATCTGATGAATTTAAATAAAGTTCATAATTAGTGGTATACTAATGTTAATTTCTTGCTTTTGATAATTGTACTTTGGTAATGTGAAATAAAGCTAGATTAAAGATGTGCAAGAACTTATCTTTGCAACTCTTATGTAAATGTAAAATTCTTTGGAAATCTGAAGCTAAAAGGCTTGAATCTGTGGTTCAAATAGTAAAAAGTGCCTGCCTAGCAAGCAGGAGGCACTGAGTCAAAACCCAATGCAACCAAATAAAGTTTGGAAAGGTTGAGGATGGTGAGTTCAAAATCATCCTGGATAGCAAACCCTGACAGAAAGAAAGACAGACAGACATACAGACAAGAAGACAAGACAGAAAGAAAGAAAGAACAAAAATATTTCAACTTATGTGAATTTTGCACATGAAAAAGTAAACTTAAAATAAATGTAATTTGTATTCTAAAAAACAAAAACAAAAAATGGGGACTGTATCATATTTCATATAGCTTTTATTTAAAATTTCTTTTGTATCTTGAAAGTTTTTATGTTTGTCTGGTTTTTGATCCTCACCCCCCATGATACTAAAACTTGAAACCAGCATCTTGTCTTGCTCATGCTGAGCAAGTGTACTAGCTTTTTTTTTTTTAATTTTGAGACAATGTTTTGCCAAATTGCTCAGATTGTCTTGAATTTTCATCCTTCTACTTCAACCTCTTAGTACCTAGTATGATAGCATATAGCTAAGATTTAGGGAAAAGGGTAGTTACACCATGAAATTGCGGATGTTATTTTTTCTTTAAATTCATTATTCCTTTTTACCTTCTAACATTGAAGTTGAAAAGAGTTGATGGTGGAAAAACTGTATAACTCTACAGTCAATTCCTTAAGAATTACATTCTCGCTTAATATTAAGTGTGAAAGTATGTTTGTAGACTATGTTCTCATTTTGAAGTCTGTGTGTTGAGACATCTGTATTGCTTGCTCAGGTAATCATGACAGGAGAGTGGGGGAGGAAAAAAGAAATGGAAGAGCAAGTCAGGGCTTTATGAGGACATGCTTTTACCATTCGTAGCTTTGGGGACAGCTGATTGTGGTGATTCCCTTGGTCAGGTGAGCCTGTAAATAAATTTATTACAATTGATTTCCTGGTGCAGCTGTTAAACTCAATTTAAGTAATACCTGGAGGAAGCAGATACCTTGGGCCAAGTGAGTCACTGCTCAACTGCAAGAACCTTTGCCCTAGAGATCTTTATCTCCAGCCCCATAACTTAACCAGTCAAATTGTCCCACATTGAGCCACCTGGTCTGACTAAAGGACTCTGAACTGAGAGTTAACAACTGTACCTCTAACAAAAACTAGCTAGTTATTTGGGGTGAATTACTGGAGCTTTATATGGCCCAGTTCTACTACTGAATAAAAGGAGACTTGGTTACTTAATTTCTAAGCCTCTCTTATGAATATCTCTCATGTAGCTAACACTGAAGTCATCCTTTTTTTTTTTTTTTTGGTTGGTTGTGGGGCTTGAACTCTGGGCTTGGGCGCCATCCCTGTGCTCTTCAGCTCAAGGTGAGCGCTCTACCACTTGAGCCATAGCACCACTTCCAGTTTTCTAGTGTTTTATTGGAGATAAGAGTTTCACGGACTTTTCTGCCCAGGCTGGCTTTGAACCACGATCCTCAGATCTCAGCCTCCTGAGTAGGATTACAGGCGTGAGCCACCGATGCCCGGCTTGTACCTGAGCTGCTCATATCTGTAATCTTTGCTACTGAAACCAGGAGAATCACAGTTCAAAGCCAGCTCAGAGTGACTGTCTCAGAGAAACAGGTCACTGAGACTCCATCTCCAATTAACCAACAAAAAAAAATATGGACAGGCTGGGCACTGGTGGCTCATGCCTTAATCTTAACTACTCAGAAGGCTGAGGTGGTAGGATTGTGGTTCAAAGCAAGTGTGAGCAGAAAAGTCTATGAGACTCATCTCCAATTAACTACCAAAAAAGCCAGAAGTGGAGCTGTGGCTCAAGCGGTAGAGTGCTCGCCTTGAGCAAAAGAAAGTCAGGGACAGTGCCCAGACCCTGAGTTCAAGCCCAAGGACTGGCATCAAAAAATATAGATATAGATATATGAGAGAGAGAGGGAGAAAAGAGAGGAGGTGGGAGGGGAAGGAGGGAAGAGAGAAGTGGGGAGGTGGGAGAGGAGAGGAGAGGAGACTTAGTCATGGATTCTCTGAATTCTCAAGAATACTAATTTCTCAACACAGCCTTATTTCCTTCCTTCACCTTCCAGGGCAGACATCTTCATGCTAGTTAAGTTGACCTATTCTAAGTTGATATCCCTCCTCATTCCCACTATAAGATCTGAGCTGATAACTTGCTGCATGAAGGGACACATCTCATATTGGTCTTCTTGGGCGTGCCAGGGAGAGGCAGAGGTTCAACTCTTTACACTTATCTCAGACCTAGCCTGCTCCTTTGACCCTGGTCACTCAAGAGTAGATGCACACAGGCCTGTCTTCACAAATACACACCTCAGTATTTAAACACTGTGAAAACTGGAATAAACTGGCTCCCTTTGTTTGCCTGTAGTCCAAAGCTCAAAAAGTCATGTATTCAAACCTGGGGTGGGGCCTGATTACATTTCCACTTTTATTTAAGGTCAATTCATTTTCTCTTGTTCAAAGGTCCCTTTTACAGTCTACAGCCCAGCAAGATACTTTAGTAAATGTGTATAGGAAGATAGGCTCACATAACTAGTATCATGGCTATAGATGGCAACAGAAGTTGTCTCTCCACTTTGGAAAATTACACGCAGCTAAGAATATACTTGTTCACTCAGAATAGATTGTTAGGTCCCACACATCTTGGGGGAGAAAAAAAAACTGTTCTTAGTGCCTGTCTGTTCTTGAAAATAGGACACCTAAGGTAAAGACTCTGTTTATTTAAAACTTTAGCTTCAAAAGTAACAAAAAGAAGCTGGGCACTACTGTGGCTCACACATCTAATTATGGCTACTCAGGAGATCTGAGGATTAAAATTCAAAGCCCTTATAGAATAGTCCATGATACTTATCTCCAACTAACCACCAAAAATAAATAAATAAATAAAATCTATGGGGCTGGGAAGGTGGCTCAGTGGTAGAGCACTTGCCTTGCATGCATGAGGCCCTGGAGTCAATTCCTCAGCACCACATAAGCAAAAAAGAAAAAAAAAAAACGGAAGTGGCACTGTGGCTCAAGTGGTAGAGCGCTAGCCTTGAGCTGAAGAGCTGAGGGACAGCGCCCAGGCCCAGAGTTCAGGCCCCACAACCAGACCCCCCCCCAAAAAAAAATTCTAGACTAGGGCTGGGAATGTGGCTTAGAGCTAGAGTGCTTGCCTAGCATGCATGAAATCCTGGGTTCGATTCCTCAGTAC